CAGGATTCGGTGGATAATAGATTTGAAGGTTTAACCTTTTGCACTCGTATGTCATGTTGGAAATGACAATATAAACTCATTATAGAACGTTGGAAATTCTTTGAAAAACTTCCACACTTCAAATGATTATAAAAATTAAATTTTATTATAATAGTAATAAATATAATAAATACAAAACGTTCAATTCTACCGCTGTAAATTACTTTAATTCATTTCCCTAAAACCAAATGCAAGTTCACACCCAACAACATTGAAAATAAATCGAGTGCAAAGGGTTAGAACTAAAACTACCGAGCAGTTAAATTAATTTTTTTAAATTTCTCTATAGAAATTCCAAGAATGCACCTATTGAAACTTTAATTGGTTTACAATTCAGTTTGCGTGTTGCTAAATCAATTTCTGTGATAATTTCTTAGAGAAGCATCTGTTATCTTTTTAATCATTGCAAAATGAAAAAATCAGGAATGGATCATTTTAACTCGTATGGTAGTTGAGTGCCAAGCGAGATACGTCTCAATGGTTCCAAACGAAGGAGACGAAAGACCAAAGGCGGGAGCTGAAGGCCAATCGTAACGACGCGGAGCAACGAAATTTTAGATACATCTAATATGAGAATATGGTAATGTAAAATTCATGTCGACGGACCATATAGGGCTCTTCCATGAATACACAAGTATATTACAGGATATACGCATTAAGGAGACAGATTTCTGTGCGCTGGTCTAGACGACAACAAGAAAAAGATTAAACGAGTACGTATAATCATTCTACGTGCTACCCAATTTTTTCGAATTAAAACAAGAGTGGTATATTGCTTTCAATTAACACTTTACCCGCCATAAGCCTGTTAATCGGATTTTTGATTACAAATACTTAACAACGTATAATCTATTAAAATTACACTGCTTTAAAACAAAAGAAGTCAGAACGACATAACGAGGTTTCCTTGCACTTCGATTTTAAAGTTACAGACCTTCACAAGTAAAAACAAACACTCCTATGTCGTAGTGAAAACTATATTATTAACTAAAGTGGTTACCTCGATCAGAAGCGATAGATAATGTTAACGTATAGTAAAACCTCGAATAATATGATTAACACTAAAATTACCGAGCAGTTAAATTGAATTTTTGAAATTTCTCTATAGAAACTCCAATCTATCAAGGCTTCAATTGATTTACAGTTCAGTTTGCGTACCGGTAAATCAATTTCTTTAATAATTTCACAGAGAAACATCTGTCATGTTTTTAATAATTGCGAAAAGAAGACATCAGGAATGGGTCATTTTAACCTGACTGGTAGTTTTAGTGTAAAAAAATTCTGTGTTCTAGCAATTTTGTATTTACGAATCTCGCGTTAAATTCCCTTTTTTAAATACTGGTACAATTTCTTTCTCTGCTTATATTAATCTCTTAATAAAAATCTCACTTTTACAGTTATTTTTCAATGACTTTTTAATCATGTTATTGGAGAGTGTAGTGTATTACAAAATTGCAGAACCACAGGAAATGTGTTTACTTCTTAAAAATAGTTTTCATTACGTAAAACGTAAAGATTTGAGTGGAGGATTGCTACTATTTCATTCGGGCATGAAGAACGAATTATGAAAGCGAAATTCCCAGACAGACAATTATCGGGTAGTTTGCAAGAAATGTTGACAAACAACAAATAATTTTAGCGTCCGCACCGCGCAGAGTTCAACGTCGAAGGAAAGACGATATAAAAAGAATCAATTAATCGGTCTCTCCTATCAATTCTCACCCACTGTTACGGTTTTTTCTCGTGCATGTCGCAAGATAAAGCTTTTATATGCCTTGAAAATAATCCGAGAGGCCATCAGGACGCTGTTAAATACGTAGAAGATGTTTTACGAACTTGAATTTCATAAAAACGTTTTGTGAACATTTTAAGATTTATTGAAAATCAATTCCGACTCGTAATCAAATATTTTGATTGTAAATACTATACATATTCACGTTTCCTTGGTAAAAATATCTGTTTCCTAACTGTTCCTTTATTTTCGATGAATTTAAAAATTATTTATTTGTTATCAATGTAACGAAATTTGATAAATAATAACTTTCTTCAACGAATTATCTTTTTCCTGATTTCATCATTATGTATACGTTATAACGTAAACCCAAATAAATACAAAACATCACAGAACATTACAATCTAAAATTAAAATATCTCTCGCTGTTGTTAGTTTCTAAAAAGCTTCTTATCTTTGATAACAGAAAGAAAACATACAATTAAGTAACTCGTTTCGAAGATATTAATGAATATTTGCAAGCAAATAAAGATTTCTTGCTAACAGATTACCAAATTGTCAAGTGACGTACGAGTCGCAATTTCACATGAATGAATCATCCCCTAACGGGACCACAAGTTCAAGAAGTGTTGTATTTTACTTCTATTTTTACTGAAAAATTTTCCATCGCATACCAGCCGAGTGAATTTCTCGTACACGACCATTCAGAATTCAGTGGTAGTAGATTCGAAAGTTAGCCTTCCTTCGCGACCATCTGACTGTTCGCGTCTTTCTATGATAGGACTGTCTCTACTTTATAAAATTGGGACAATGCGTTCGGACTAACAAAATCGACTCATCGGTAAATAAAGCTGTAAATAATTTTAGTTACATTTAAATGTCACCTATCGACGCATCGATATGTTATTCTACTCATGCGTAGTAACTATTCAATCTTTTGTTTTAAATATTTTCAACTAACCATTGATTTGTACAAAGTCAGAAATCATTGTCGTATAAAATATTTAATTTCAAGAAATTTGTTAAAACTTTCATACATTCCCAAATTACATACAACTATTTATAATTTGCACTGCCTATAAATAAGAATCACTAGCACAGCAAACAAATAACTGCAATCCCCAATTCGAATTATGCATACGAGAACCAACTTGACGAGATAATTTGCTTCATCAATATGTATCTTAAGTCGGTGAAAAAAGCTGATTTTCAGAAACTGTAAACCAGACAAACTCTCAATTATGAAACTTCTACTTCAGTGTCCGAAGTTTATGGAACATCTCTTCAACGGATAATCATCAATGCACCGTATTAGATACAGAATGATTCAGTCTGCTCGAAATGAAACTTATTCATGGATTGCATCATAGCGCGCACGTCCAATTAGATAATCGATGAAAGTCGGTTACGAAAGTCGATAAGAACAGAACAGAAACGCGGGTTAACATTTGTTTCTCAACTAATCACACTGTATAATTCGAACAAAAACGTCAGGTTTCGAATGACGAGACGCGTTTCCAGCAGAATACGTTGCCACGCTTATGGGAATCCTTCGTAGAACGAGTGCGAAGTAAATAAGCGCTAAAAAAAGGCAGTTTTAAAATGAACAGGACAATTCTTCAAACTTTATAGGCAGATATTAGTTTACGAAGAATGAATATTTCACTTATACGCATTTTTACGGAAATGGAAAAGGTAGTGGCCGTAAAAGAAAACATTATGCAAGCTTTTTTTTCTGGTCTTGCCTTGCCGTCGGCGTAGATAGTCAAGGCAGGCTATACAAATTAAGCACCGTTTTGTAAATACGTATCTGCGCACGAGTTTTTCGAGGCTACGCGTTTAGAAGCGCTCGACGCTCGAGTCCGTTGAAAAACGATCCGATCGTTCATTTTAATTTCAGACACTTATCGACAAACCTTTAACACGTTCGTGTACTAATGTGTTTGCTCATTATCGTCCGCCGACGGGTATGGGATAGTATTTCACTTGTAAAACAACCGCTCTTTCTAAAACGGCTCGTCCAAATTATCTCTAATTATCGTCCATACGTGTCGCATACAATCTTGTTTCGAATGCGTAGTGCAACCTAGCTGTCACTTCAGAATATGGCGAAGCCTGCTATTCTCTTCTTTATCAGTGCGCCACTGATATGGAAATTAAAGTCTCGGTGATAGTTGAATGTATGCTAGTTTGTTTGTGAAATACAATTTCTGGGAATTGGAATTTTTGAAAAAATCGATCGTGTAGTTATATCAAAAAGAACTGGAGAATGTAGTTTCGAAGATATCGAATTGGCAAATTGAATAATTAATCTTAACATTAGATTTATAGACGTTTATTCCACATTTATTCTATTGTTCTTAGAAAATTGTGTTCGTCTCTATAAATCGCGAAAATTGTAACTTCTAGAGTATAACAATGGGTATTCGTACAATTGTACAAATCAAAATCGACTTAAGCTGGTACTAAATAATGTTTAAAAAATTCAATATCCGTCAGATTGACGGGTTCCGTGAATCTAGTGTTAAAGATATCGAGATTTTCAAATTCAAGAATTGTATAAATATTAAATTCTAAAATCAAATTAAAGAATTTAATAATCAAATTCCAATCTGTATAACAGACTAACAATAAAAACGTCTTTTCCCCGCGAAAACGGTTCACCCGTTGCACCAAGCAATGTATTTCAAAGTTGGCGCGAAATTCAAATTGCTGCCGCGTCGCGCGTGAGTACCGAACGTCGGCACCTTTGACGCAACTCGAAACACCTCGCGACGGAGCTTTAATAACTTTCTATTTTACGAATGGCACATTCTAATAAAAGATATCCAAAACCTAACCCCACTTTCTAAAGACAACGTCGTACCCACGTTCTTCCGCGATTAATCGATTAAGTACCGTATAATAACAGTATTTCATGGAAACCATATTTCACGATTCCCCTCGCCGATTCGCCGAGTACTGTCGAGCCTACCTCCGACGCCATTGAAAGTGATTAATTTATTAAATAGATATGACGTGGTCTGTTAGGTATACAAACAAAAAGAAGAATGTAATAAAACAGTTACCATAGAGATCGTTACCGTCGGCTGTTCAACGTCTAAAGAATGCAACGCACACGCACGCACGCGCACACACATGTATACGCACGCGAGTCAATATTCCTCGTGCACTCCAACACGTTTAACCACATTTTATTCCCCGCGGCAAACAAAAACTACCGACTCACCGTTTCCACCATATCGAAGCCTCCTCCGTACACCATCTCGTCTTTCCCGGATGCTTTCCCGTACTATTTCACTAACAATCAGTGACAGTTCTCAACTCCCGCCTTCGACGATCTCGTCGTCTGGTATCGTGTCGTAACCGTGGCCCGGCCGAACTTTCGAACCGCGAGGAGAGATCGACTTCGATCGGTCTAGCGGTTTCCAGTCTCCAACGCGCCGGAAACGCGCGAACCACGGTCCCGTTTACTCGTCCCGTTCACCCTGTTTTTCCTGTCCCCTTTGATCACACCGGTGTCTGCCTATTCCTTTTCCTTCACCTCGCCTAAAATTTCTGTTCCGTC